CCGGGCTGGGGATTCGAACCCGCCACCTTAGGTGTATGTGGCTGGCGCCTTAGCTGCTTGAGCCACAGGCGCCGAGCCAACACCCAGCTATTTTTAGAGATGAGGGTCTTGCTCAGGCTGGTCTTGAACCTGTGAGCTCAGGCAATCCACCCATCTTGTAGTGTTAGGATTATGGGCATGAGCCACTGTGCCCTAGTTTTTCTGTTTTTATTAGATACAAAGTCTCACTCTTGCTTAGAGTTGGTCTCAAACTCCTGAGCTCAAGTGATTCTCCTGCCTCAGCCTCCCAGAGTGCCAGGATTACAGGAATGTGCCATTGTGCAGGGCCAAGCAGCTTGTTTGTGTGTATGAAGACAGTCTCACAATGTTGCCCTGGGTAGAGTACTGTGCCATCATAGCTCACAGCAACCTCAAACTCCTGAGCCCAAGTACCAACCCTCCTGCTCAGCCTCCCAGAGCATTATAGGGGTGAGCCACCGTTCTGGGCCCACAAGCAGCTTTTAATGCCTTGCTTAGGAATGCTTCTAGCCTTGCAGATTGGGGGATATCAAGACCAAAGAGGTTGGCTTGGCGTCTATAGCTCAGCAGCTAGGGTGCCAGCCACATACACCGTAGCTATCGGGTTCAAATCCAGCCCAAGCCTGCCAAACAACAATGACAACTACAACCAAAAGAAAAAAAATAGCTGGCGTTGTGGTGGGCACCTTTAGTCCCAGCTACTTGGGAGGCTGAGGCAAGAGAATTGCTTAAGCCCAAGAGTTTGAGGATGCTGTGAGCTGTGATGCTACTGCACTCTACCAAGGGTGACACAGTGAAACTCTGTCTCAAAAACAAGTAAAAAAAAAAAAAAAATAGAGGGTGGCGCCTGTGGCTCAAAGGGGTAGGATGCCGGCCCCATATATGGGAGGTGGCGGGTTCAAACCCAGACCCTGGACAAAAAAAGAAATAGGGCGGTGCCTGTGGCTCAAGGAGTAGGGCACCAGCCCCATATACCAGAGGTGGCAGGTTCAATCCCAGCCCTGGCCAAAAACTGCAAAAAAAAGAAAGAAAGAAAAAAAATAGAAAAACTGAGGCAAGAGGATCCTTCAAGCCCCAGTTGGAGGATGCTGTGAGCTGTGATGCCACAGCACTCTACTGAGGATGACATAGTAGGACTCTGTCTCAGAAACAAAAAAACAAAAACCAAAAACCCAAACAGATTACTCTGCCTTCTGCTGGCCACAAGCAGAAAGGCTTGAATTTCTTTAGATTTAACACTGAGAAATAATCATTTCTTTTGGCACATTTAATGTATTTCTTCTTCACAGTCATGGGAATTTGTGAAAGAATGGGAGACTGAATTAGAAAAGGGAGAATTGGCTTCCTTTTTTCCTTAGTCTGGAGTATGTTTTAGGTGTCAATAAACCATTTAGATTGAATACCTTTAATCTCTCATTTTCTGGGCCACAACCTGAGGTGGATGCATCTCCTACATTAGATACAGAAAAAAGGAATGGACAGAGTTTAGGAAAAGTCCTGGTGTGTACGTCAGGATTACTGTTCTTTCTCCCTGAATGATGGAATCGGGGCACATGGCTGGTACCCCCCATTAAAGACCCCTGTGTCCTTAGAAACTGAGGGGCGTACTAGCTTCTTCCCTGACCAGTATCTTCAGTATTGTTTTCTTCCCCTCCCAAACCCCAAGAAAACACACCAACTGCTTCAGAGTATTTCTGGGTTGGGTTTTTTCATGGGTCTTTTTTGTTTTTTTATTTCAAATACTGAAAAAGTCCCTTGGGCTCTGTGGGGCTCCCCATGCTTGGGCCTCTCCCCCACACTCACTGCCCTCTCCCCATGGCAAATCTATTTCAAGGAAAGCACTTTTTTCAGGAGCAATTAACATTAGAGTCAGAGGAGCTCTTTGCATCTGCTGTACATAGACTGAGCTTCTTCTGTCTGGCACCAGATCTCTAGCCACATCCAAACGAGGCATTTATCACACAGCAGAACTAGAGCTCCTCGCTGTTGGGCTACTCACTTCCTCCTCTCACGCCTACCCACACCTGCCACATGGTCAAGGAGGATGGCTAGGAATGTTTCTATCAACTCCAAGCCCTAATTTCCCCAAGTCTCCCACCCCACCCTCTCAATCCCACCCCCAGGATTTCCTTGAGATTTCTCCCAACAGTTATGAGGAAAAAAGGTAAAACAAAAAAGGTTCAAGGTCTTGGTGCTCAGCCCAAGGGGCTCCATGCGCTGGGACACCGACGGGCAGGGGCTTCTGCCTCTCCAGCCCGTGCCCTAGCCACCTCCTGACCCCTGGCTGCAAAAGCAGGGAGGGCAGAAGCCAGCACAGAACCCAGGGGGCAGCGTCTCAGGATCTGGTGGAGCCCCGGGCAGCATCATTCAACTTGGCCACTGTAGACGAACACAGAAGAAAAAAAAAACACTGTCAAGTAATAGGGGGAAAAAAATCCCTGAATTCCCAGTCTCTACCCCACAATTCCTCCACACTTAGCAATCATTAGGCTGTCTGGCATATGCCTCAATCCTATCCATAGAGGAATTAAAAAAAAAAGAGAGAAGATTTAATTTTTTCCTATCTACAAAACAGAATGTTTTCTACCTTTTTGAAGATAACCATGGAAAACAAACACAGAAAAACAACTCTTTAGACAACATGAACATAAGCTGGAGGCTTACGCTGCCTGGCTCAGAGCAGGATGTTTCAGAGGCACGGCCACAGTCTCTCAGCAGTGAAGGCTGACTGAGGCAAACACAGGGAGGAGGTGGTGACCACGTGGAGGCCAAGGCCAGACCACACACGTTTTGAGTGGATTTCATCTGTGTTTAATCAAAGCAATTTGCGTTTGGATTTTGAAATGAGCCTTCCTTGCTAAGGAAGCTACATACTTCATGCTGTGGAAACGAGGGACAGACACAGGAGGTAGCCTGTTTCTTTGCTTTCTTATCCTTGAAGATTGACCAAGTAGGGAGGAGAGTGAGACCAAAAGTTTTTCTGATTTTCCTACTCTTTCTATTCCTTCCTAAAAACCAGATTTATTGTGACCAGTAGTCTGGAGGACTCAAACAATAGAGAAGGCAGCTCAGACAGAAAAGAAAAAAGTACAGAATTCGAGAAGATCGGAGATGAAGAAAACGTACAAAATTATATATATATTTATATATATAATAACATGACATATCTATGTACAACATGGCTGGGATAGTTGAGGAAACTATACAATGATGTTTGGCATTTCCCCCTTCCCACATGGACTTTAGATTAAGGATGACAGCATGAGGAAATGGAGCAAGAAACACAAAAATCATATACAATTACAAGTGACAGTCAAGGAGGCTGGGGGCTAGGAGGTCCAGGGATCCTGCTCTCTCCATTCCTTCCTCACCAAGTTTTTCTTACCCAATCTGTACAACAGCCTGAAAATTAGACGGCCATTTAGAAGTGCACACGCACCTAATCTCCCGCATCTGCACGTCAGCAAATGTATCAGTCATTCTCATTGGCCCAAGTGTTTGGTATATCACAATTGTGTGGTGAGATGGCAAGAGGATTACAGAATCTTGCTCTTTTGAATAATTCTCACCCTGGCCCTCTTTATCATAACTAGCAGGATGCATTTACTAAGTTTCAGGCCAAGATGGTGATAATGAGACTGAAGATGCTGGTCTCCTTTCCTCTACTTGTTCATGAATCAGCACTGGCACCTCTCCTTACCATGCAAGAGCTGGGTTACTGGGTTCTGGGAAGAGATTTCTTAGCTTCCTCCTCTCTCTCCCTAACCATTTTCCCCAGCTTCCTCTAAGGTGAATCATCTCTCAAGAACCTGTTGCTCCAGGCTTGCAGTAGAACTGAGCCCCCAGAGGCTTGCTCAGTTTATCCCTTTTCTCTCCTTTCCCTAACAATACACTGGCATCTGACTACATCTGAAACGTGGGTCAACACATGTGCATGACTGTGTTTTCTCAGGCCCACAGCTCTGCTGCTGTAACAGCTTTTTAGCAGCTAAGGCCCAGATGTAGGCTGTGGACGTGGGTGGGGTCAGAGGTAAGCAGCTTCTTAGGTTTCTTTCTTGATCCTCAAGACACCATGAGGTGTCTCTGAGGGTCTCTTGCCAGAATTTATAACGCTCAGAACTCAACTACTTCACTTCTCATGTAGCCCTCTAATGGTTTTCCAGTACCATGGAGCAGAGGCTCATTACCCACGGGCCTTCCTCACTATTAGTTTTATATGAATAGCACAGGGCTTTTTCTGTTGGCAATTATAAAATTTTAGAATCAGAATCAATATTATATGTTAACCCTATTTTACAGATGAGGAAATAGAAATTCAGAGAGGCTAAATGACTTGACCAAGCTTATACATCAGTTCTGCTGAGACTGAGCGGAACTTCAACCAGATGCCTCGACTCCTAAACCAGCACTCTTTCCGCTATTCCGTGAACCTTTCAAAAGTAACAAGCTGGAAGAGAGAACATGCCATTTTCTATGAACAATGGTCATCAATCTTTATATCATTCGAGAGCCAGGGCAAACTGTAAGAGATACTAAGGAAAGGAAGCTAAGTGGGTATTGTAGTTTTAGTCAAGCAACTCAGGTTTTCTTTCTGTGGATTCTCTAAACCTGCCATAATGGAAACTTGAAGCGGTAGCAGCCTAAAGACAAAACACTTAGCACAGAAAATACGTCTCATTCGGTCTGCCTTTCCTCACCATGTCAGGTTAGCCTGGGGATGTTAAACCTACCAAATTATTCCCCAGGCTCAGCTCAACCAATTTTGGGACATTCTCTTCCTGAAGGAGAAATCAAGTCTCTGCAGTTTCTCACACAAGAAAGTGAGTCTGCAGCATTATCCAGTCCTGGTCTTTCCTATTCTGGGCCCCTACCCGGACTACAGTGAAGGAGTGGAAGTCTCATTTTAACCAAACACACGAATTCAGAGCCCCTCTTCAACCCACGTTACCCTCTCAGCAGCCCCCAGCAAAACCGCTGCCACTTCTGGCTAACCAGCTGAGAAGGTCTGACTAGGTGCCCTTTCCATCCCTGCCTATGATACACAAAAGTCCAGTGGGTGAGGAAGGGGAGGCGAGGGGCCCAGGTTACCCCGCAAGCTTGCTGGTGACGAGGGAGGACTTTCTCTGGGGTAGATCCTGTGGAGTGGGGATGTGGTCACCAGTCACAAGGTTCTTGTCTGGTCCTGTACTTGGCAGCTGCTTATTCTTCATCTTGGCTTTGGCCATGTTGTAGTCTCCTGAGTCAAAGTATTTTTGCTAAGAGACAAGAGGGAAGTTTAGGTGAGGAGCTCTGGCCTTCCTCAAAAACAAGGAGACTTCCATCTCACATCCATTATAAACCCTCATCCACATTGAGATCTTTCTAAAAGTCTTCCTCAAATAACCTTATTCATTGACAATTTAACATTAATTGCATATACTTATGTCTTCCGCCCAATTTGTTCTGACCTTTTCAGGTATGTAAGCAGTTTCTCAGATACAGTCTACATTTTTGGAGTCAAAGGACAACCTCTAGAAATCCTTTGTACCCCACTCAGTAGAAGGTGATTCAACCAAAATTACTTCCCTTATTCATAGTTACTGAGGACCTTACTAGGTACAAAGCCAAAGCCTGGTACTGGGGAAATGGAAATTAGTAAGATATATAGAAGAGTCACTTTGGGGCTATCCTAGCCTTCTGCAGATCAACCTTTTTTTTTTTTTTTCAGTTTTTGGCCAGGGCCAGGTTTGAACCTGCCACCTCTGGCATATAGGACCAGCACCCTACCCTTTTTGAGCCACAGGCA